GGCAGGCGATGACGGCAAACTAGCATTTTCAAGTACACTGTAACCACCTTCCAGCAGGATAGGGTAAGCAGTTCCGCACCTTCTTTCCTTGGCAACGCTTTGCTGATTTTGTTGGTGTTTTCAGACCTGCTATCTTTGCAGCAACATACGCCACACGTAGCTCATTTTAGGAATTTGAGAACATGTTGTTCTTGCCATCGTCAACTTCAGCATTTCGTATTCAGGAGAGATACCAGGATTCTTATACCCGAGCTTGCAGTTTTGACAAATGCCCACGCGAACAATGTGGGACGGCACGAGGTCTAGAAAAACGATTAGAGCTCTGGGGTGGGATAGTGCAGAGCGCGATGAATTTGTTTAGTGCGGAAGAGAGCTCCGACAAAGTCCGAGACATTCTCAGAGGCATTCGCAGTGTGGCTTTAGTAACAAGTAGACATTGCGCAGGAAGGGTCGTACCAAAGTTCAAAAAAAGAAAACAGCAATTCCGACAGTCTGACTAAAGATGAGCAAGTCACAAAAACTGCGATGTGCGAAGCGACACATTTAATGCCGCGGAGGAGGTAGGTTCCAGAACTTTTAGGGTTTTTCCTTCATCTCAGGGGCACGGGAAGGTCTCTCAGGATGGTGCGGTCAGCCGTTACTGTGCACCTAGTTGCCATTTCAAAGCATTCCTCAAAGTTCCAAATTTCAGAGCCTATAGTCGTCGCATTCTATTTGAAAACAACATGGTTGCCCACGTTGAGAAGTGATTTATTCAACACCATGCCCTACCACTAAGCTATGGTGTAATTGTTACTAAAGCAGCGACCTTGCAACATTCTCATCAGACTAGTTTTTCTTCAGGCTTTTCCAATGTAATTGTTTCACTTTAGACCAGAAAGTCTAAGTGATGCACTGACAAGGGTATGCCCCGTAGGCTAACTAGCTTACCAGCCTTGGGAACGCTGTATTTGCAGATGAATCCGGTCGTTTTCGAGCTGCAGTCCTGCGGGGTCCAGACACCCATCTCGTTGGCATAGACGCATGGTTTGTGGACACTCTGCCAGTTGATGTAGCAGTCAAAGTTGCTGAATTGATTGCGCCGCCCGTTCTGCCAGGTGTAGTATCTGTCCTTGTCCGTGTCTGTCAGGCCTATCCACAGCTGAGAGTTGGTCGGCAGCTTCTTGCTGCATGCATAGTGGGAGAAATAGCACCAACATCAAAAGATCTTCCTCTCAACATCACTTCAAGATAACAGCTACAATACTAAAGCTAAGCACACCATCAAGGCAAAATCAGAACCTTCCATCTCTGTCTACATCCTGCAAATTTACTTTGTTTAATTCCCGTAGCTATGCAAAATACGTTACTTTAGTAACGTCTGGCGCTAGCCAGGGTTCACGCAGCTTCAATTCCGTGTTTGTTTGTTTGTGCCATAGGCATGCCTCGCGCTATCCCGTACCTGTCCCGTACCGTACCGCAACATCAAAGACAGCTGGCCACTGTGACAATATTCAAATAGGGCATTCAAAATGCAAGATCATAACATGAGGCAACTAAATGCATGTATGCAAAGTGTATCGGGGGAATGCATACAGGGTGATAGTGCGGGTTCGAATCCCAGGTTATGTCTTAAAAAAAAGGAGAAATGAAAAATCTACAACATCCTGATGCTTCTTTTGCCCAGGTCATCAAGGTGGTAGACGGAGTCGTATTACCTTCGAATGCAAAAGAGAAAGTTTGATGTAGCCAATCAATGGAAAAAAACACATTGCCATCAGTTCCAATAACACGATGAGCTTGGCAAAAAAGCATAGCGTAGGGCCCGGAGCTTCCAAGCTCTCTCGTTCACGAAGCAAAACATGGGCAGAACTTGGTGATTAAAATAGAAGAAATTGCATGGAAACGAGTTATGAAGCAACTATCCACGACTGTATCAAGATAATAAGCTGACAGAAATAGCTTATTATCTTGGTACAGTCGTGGATAGTTGATTCATAACTCGTTTTCATGTAATTTCTTCTATTTTATTTATTGGCTCGGTATCCGAGTTAGAACTTTGTGAGGCAAGGTATTTTCTATTTCAATGCCTCATATTAAATATGATGAGGAAATCCCATGTTCTGTATTTAATCTCTCTCATCTGCTCATAAGCACCCGCTCTGGAGCTCAATCTGACACCTTGACACTGGGGATGTGGGGGGGGGGGGGAGGGGGGGGTTGTGTACTAAGGGGTGGTGGTGTACCTACGGGGTATTGATGTATCTAAGGGGTGGTGTACCTATGGGGTAGTGGTGTGCCTACAGGGTGGTGGTGTGCCTCCGGGGCGGTGGTGTACCTACTTGGTAGTGGTGCACCCACGGGGTGGTGGTGTACCTACAAGGTGGTGGTGTATCTACGGAGTGGTGGTGTACCTATGGGGTAGTGGTGTGCCCACGGGGTGGTGGTGTACCTACAAGGTGGTGGTGTATCTACGGAGTGGTGGTGTACCTATGGGGTAGTGGTGTGCCTACAGGGTGGTGGTGTGCCTCCGGGGCGGTGGTGTACCTACTTGGTAGTGGCGTACCCACGGGGTGGTGGTGTACCTACAAGGTGGTGGTGTATCTACGGAGTGGTGGTGTACCTACGGGGTGGTGATGTGCCCACGGGGTGGTGGTGTGCCTACGGGGTGGTGGTGTGCCTACTGGGTGATGGTGTGCCCACGGGGTGGTGGTGTATAGGGTACAAAAAAAAACACTACTGCTGAGTCACAATCTATACAGCAAACCCATTGGCTTTTACAGAATTAGGAGACTGATTATGAAGTGTATGGCTATATTGAAATCTGTGAATTTCTGCCCATTAATAATTGAATTCTACTTGCTGGCATTGCCCAAAAAGGAGAGCAATGAACATTGGGCATGTTGAATTTTACCTCCTCTATTTTCCTGCTTCTAAGCAGATAATACGCTTGTACCTGATACAAGTATACACTTGAAGCGTACACTACCTGTCCAAAGTACAGTGTTGCTCAATGAAATCCAGCCGCGGCAACCAAGTACGCGCCGGGCATTGCGCAGCAACAAACCTGCGAACACCGGGCTGTGGAATGCTGCAAGGCGCAAACTTGAGTGACTAGACTTCATAGGGCAGCACTGTACTTACGCCTTGATGAGGCCGACGACAAAATCATTCTCCTGCGGATCTTCAATAGAGGCTAGATCAGCACCGGGCCATGCTGTCTTGCACATCGTCTCCGCTTGCGAGAAGGTGAGATTCTGCATGGAGTTGATCATTACACACGCATCAGACGCCGCGTTGTACTCCCAACCGTAGAAACAAGGAGTCACTGCAGAGAGGAGATACGGAAGAAACAACATGAAGTGACAATCCACTCATGGTCATCAGGCCGAACGTCAGAACTCTCAATAAAATTGCTATTGCCAAACAGCTCTTACAGTCCATTTCAAAAACATTGACAATCCTGGCGATTGCACGGGGAGTTTTCCATCTTACCGTATGCGGTGCCTGCAAAAACTCGCTGTGAACTCGAAGAAATATTCCGTTCGAAGGCATGGAAAATTGTGACAACTCACGCATGCAGGTACATATACGTCTGGTTTACAACAAACCACTAATTTACTTCTTGCTTGTATCGATATGGAGTCATAGAGGGCAAGTCGAACCATGGTAAATGAAGCCCGGGATGAGTCCCGATTTGATTTGTGACTAAATAGTTCCTTTGATCTGCAACCCTGCGATGCAATATATTCTCACCAGGGGACCAAATTGCCATAGACACGGACTCATTCTCCAGGCCATGACTTGACAAACCCATTGATCCGTGTGACTTCAGCACATTTTGAGGAAAGCAGACGCCGACTTCTAAATTCAAATAAATTGACGATCGTGAAATACTAAAAATAATTCTCAACAAGAAGTCGATCTAACTCTGATACTGAGCCAATAAATATAATTGAAATAGAAGGAATCACATGGAAACGAGTTATGAAGCAACTATCCACGACTGTAACAAGATAACAAGCAGTCAGAATGTGCGATACCAGGGCACAACACTGACATTTTACTGTGACATTCAACGTCCTGAGACCTAGCTCTTACACACGTCCAGTGCGCAAACCAACAGCCTTCCAGCTTGGAAGGTTCAAGGTTACGACGTATAGCACACCTCTCACAGTAAGACCAATTAGGGGAAGGTGAGCGCAAGCTGAGTACCACGGCAACAAAGAAACTGGACGGCTGTTGGTTTGCGCACTGAAGGTAGCAGCGCGGGCCGGTCAAGAGTGACCTACATGTAGCCCTCAGGTGGTTATTATCTTGCCACAGTCGTGGATAGTTGCTTCATAACTCGTTGTCAAGGGATTTCTTCTATTTTAAGAAGTCGATCGATCCATGTGCCTGCACATGTATATTCAACACATAGCTACAGCCTGGCAATGGCTTCTACTCACTCACACATAGCTACAGGGCAATGGCTTCTACTCACTCACACCTTTACAGTGTTGCGTGTGTGTGTATGTTCACATAACGTGAGCCAGTCAAGTGTCAGTCAGCCGGCAGGATGCGCGAACTCCAACAACAACATTG